GCCCCCCGGGGGCTCTGCGCGCGCGGCCGGCCGGCCGGCCCCGAGCGGCGGGCCCGGAGCGCCGCGCGGCGCGCGCGCGGGCACCTGGCGGCGCAGCAGAGGGGGGGTAATGTTCGAGGCTGGTGTCCCGCGTCCTCCTGCGCGCCCTCCTCCTCCTCCTCCTCCTCCTCCTCCTCCTCCTCCTCCTCTCCTCCTCCTCCTCCTCCTCCTCCTCCTCCTCCTCCTCCTTCCTCCTCCTCCTCCTCCTCCTTCTCCTCCTCCTCCTCCTCCTCCTCCTCCTCCTCCTCCTCTCCTCCTCCTCCTCCTCCTCCTCCTCCTCCTCCTCCTCCTCCTCAGGGGGAGGGGGGGAGGCTTCTCAGAAGCACCCCTGCTTCTCAGAAGGTGTGGGCCTTCTCTGCAGATGTAGGGCCAGCGCCTTCTGAGAAGCAGCCTCCCTCCAAGAAGCCTGTTCCTCCTCCCCCTTACCCCCTTCTGCTCGCCGCCAGGGCACGCGCCGCACAAGGTGCATTTCCACGGAGAGGTGCCCCGCAGCCACGGGGGTCGCGGCCCGACGGGGCCTGGCCCGCGGCGCCGGGGAGCCGGGCACGGCGCGGCCGAGGGCAGAGCAGAGGGGGCCGAGCGGTCATGCATGGTCAATGGGTGCGTGGCTGAAGTGGGATCCCGCGATGCGGATTGGTGCTGTTGTTGTTGGTGTTGGTGTTGGTGTTGGTGTTGATTGTGTTGTTGGTGTTGTTGTCGGTGTTGTTGTTGTTGTTGTTGTTGGTGTTGTTGGTGTTGTTGATGCTGCTGATGTTGTCGGTGTTGTTGTTGTTGATGATGATGATGCTGCTGATGTCGTCGATGTTGTTGTTGTTGGTGGTGGTGGTGGTGGTGTTGCTGCTGATGTTGTTATGTGTGCTGGTGTTGCTCTTGTTGTTGTTGATGTTGCTGTTGTCGTTGGTTGTTGTCGGTGTCGTTGATGTTGTTGTTGTTGTTGCTGGTGTTGCTTTTGCTATTGTTGTGTGTTGTTGGTGGTGTTGTTGTTGGTGGTGTTTGGTGGATGGTGTTATTGTTGTTGTTATTATTGTTGTTGTTGCTGTTGATGTTGCTGTTGTTGATGTTGGTGTTGTTGTTGGTGTTGTTTGGCGTCGTCCCCCCCGCGACCTGGTCCGCGACCCACCCGCGACCCACTCCGCGACCCACCCGCGACCCACCCGCAACCCACCCGCGGCCCATCCCGGGACCCACCCCGCGACCCACCCGCGACCCACCCGCGGCCTCTCCCCGCGACCCGCCCGCGACCCGCCCGCGACCCACCCGCGGCCCACCCGCGACATACCCGCGACCCGGCCAGCGACCCACCCGCGACCCACCCCGCGACCCACCCACACTGGTTTAACGAAAAGTCGGCGCCTGCGGCGGGCCCCGTGGCACAAACTGTTAAAATCAGGCGCCTGCGGCGTGCTTCTTCACAGCCGCGCAGACTGCGGACGTCCCCGCCGCCCCCTTCACTCTCATCCGCAAGTGCGGGGTGTTACGTAATAAGATCGAGGTCGGCGCGGGGAGGGCACCCTGATGTTCTTCCTATGTGTCGCATGCTCTTCGCATTCCGGGGAAAGGTGCCTTGAAGAATGGCTCTTCTGCCCTGGCAGAGGGTCTCACGTGCTTGCTCGGAGGGCGCGCAGTGGGGGGAGCGGTAAATGGGGGGGCAGCGAGGGCGGCCGAGAAGGGGCCCTTTGGGGCCCCTACAGGGGCCCTATAGGGGCCCTAGGGGCTCCTAAAGGGGCCCTTTCGGTCCCAGAAGCGGACACCCTTCTCCCCCCCCCATTGATCGCCCCTCACTAAGTTCGCGCCCAGCTTAAAGGATGCCCTTCTGTCTCTGCTCCGACTGTACATCTCGTCGCCCTGTGGCAGATACCCCACCGTGCCATCTCGATCAGCGAACTGCCCTTTTTGTTCCCCGGGGTCTCGAGAGGGTGTCGCGGCCGCTGTGTGCGGGCACGCGTCCGCTGGGTCTGGTCCCAGATCGTTTTTTCTTCACTGGAGGGTTAAGTCGAGCATGTCTCTCTACGGAAAGAATATTCAAAAGTAGTCGCACAAAGAATACGAGAACGATGTTTATATTATGTTTGGCTACTGTTGCGTATGTTTTGACAAGATTCCATTTGTCTTGCAAAGTCCGCCTGTAGGAGGACATGCCCGACCCAACTGAAGGGTGTTTTGCTACGGGGAGGTCTGTCCACACCCCAGGGTGCCCGAGGTGGGCCACGTGCAGGAGTGACTCCGCGGAGGCGCCCAGTCCCCAGCAGGGGGTCCCTCCTGGCCGGCCGAGGAGGAAGGGCGACTCAGATTGGACGGCGCCCGGGAACCCTCGACGGCTTCCGACCCCGTTTTGATATCCCGAGGCTTTCGAACCTCGGGGGTGCTTTTTCCAGCAGCTGCGCCACGGCATGCCAGGGCACGCGCCCGCACCGCCACGAGCGGCCGCCGGTGCGGGCCCGCCGGTGAAGCCGCCGGGCGCAGGCGCGGCCCCCCGCCAGAGGGGCGCGGGCCCGCATAGGGTCCCCCCCAGCAGCAGAGGCCTGTTGCGGTGCAGCTCCTCGGGGGTTGAGAGTCAGCAGCTGGTCGGGAAGCAGTCTCAGCTGGCGGAATCCCTGGTCGCGGGCGATGTTTCTCCCCCAATCCCCGAGCTTCGCCCGAAAAGTCTGGCCGCTCCTGGGATGCACCCCAAGGGGGCTATTCGGATGCACCCCTATCGAGAATGGACACCCCCCCATCGTGCATCCCAGGGTTAGGCCCCAAATTTCTGGTCCATTCGGAAACCCCGCGAAGCCTGGGATAGGGGTCGACATATCCCCTGTTACCTGGCGATCGTGCGCAGTCCCGCCGAGTCCAGCTTTGATCCCGGGCACCATCTGGCCGATTGGCCGTGCTCTCCGGCCAGAGGCCTCGAGCGTTCTCGCGCAGGCCTCCCGGAGAGTGCCTCGTGAGGCCTGCGCGCTTGGGTCTGGCCAGAGGGGCGGGTTGGCAGGGGCGTTGGACGGAGTGTCGGCCAGGAGAAGGATACGATAGGCAATTCTTTCCACGAGGTATGTCAGTATGTCTTTCTGCGTCCCACTCTCACACGTCCTGTCGCTGGTCTTCGTGAGACCGTCCTCGTGCACATCCCCACCCCCGTGGGAGCCCGGGATTGGCTGGCAGAGTCGAGGCACGAGCCCTCCTGCCTCTCCTCTCCAGGCCTCCTGGCCAGGGCCCGAGTGGATGGGGACGGAGGATCGCGGATGCATCTCCGATGCATCGGCGATGCGGCTCGGTGTGGGGCCCGATCTTCTCCATGCCGACGTCGCAGATGCATCGCCGACGCGTCGGCGATGCGGTGCAACTCTCCGACCGCATTTGCTCGGACCCCATCTGGGAGGCCTCTGCCCTCGTGCCCCTTCCCCAGCTCCTCGGGCCCCTTCCGTTTCTGACCATCCTGCTCCTCCCGCCTCTGCCCCCCTCGCCGCAGCCGGCACGCGGGTGTAGAGCAGCTCTCCAGCTTCGCGGGGGCACCGTTCTGTGACATTCGAGCTCGGACCCTCCACCTCCGAGGGCCCAGCTCGACCCGAGTGATGTCGCTGTGTCGTCCGGCCCGATCCGATCCGACTGCGGTATTTCACCGATGCGATGCGGCCCGATGTTTGCACGGCGTGGTGGCGCGCCCTGGCGCCTCCGTCCCGATCCGACTTCGACTCGGTGCCGACGCGGCCCGATCTGGCGCACTCTCCGATGCGATCCGATCTCCGGGATCGGTGCCGATTGGCTCTGCTTCCTGCCCACCTTGGTTCTCATCGCTCGTGTTGCTCCTTCTGCCCCATCCCCGCCTCTGAACATCCTGCTCCTGCTCGCGACGCCCAGATGCCACACGTCGCGATCCGTTCACAAAGGCGTGCACCCCTGGCGTGCACCAGGAAGCTGGGCACGCGGCCAGCCTGTCCGCGTGTCCAGCGCTGGCCTGGGCGAGAGCTGGATGCGCATGTGGCCAGAGGAGGAGGAGGAGGAGAAGGAGGAGGAGGAGGAGGGAGAAGAGGAGGAGGAGGAGGCGGAGGAGGCGGAGGAGGCGGAAACGGAGGAGGAGGAGGAGGATTTACATCTCGCATCTCGCAACGACACCAGGAGAAGCAAACAATCAGAATCTAAAGTACCCTGGCGAAGGAACCGCCCCGCGCGCAACTGCGGGCACCGCCTGGCAAGCAATACGGAGGAGGAGGGGGCGAGCATGTTTTGGCGGGGCAGCGCCATGCGAACACCGCCATTGGGGCCGTCGGTGGGCACTTTATGAGGCCACGGAATTTGTTGTGGAGGGTGTGCCGACATGGACGCGGTGCCGCCCTGCGGACCCTGCCGCTGGGGCGTTCGGTGGATCTCCTCATGGGGCCACGAAACGTGTGAGGGCCGTGCCGAAATGGGCCCACGGTGCCGACATGCGGATTTCACACTGGGGCGTTCGGTTGAGCTCCGTATGGAGCACGTGAGGGTTGTGTCGAAATGGGCGCGGTGCCGCCATGTGGACCTTGCCGCTGAGGCTTTCGGTGGATCTCCCTGGGGCAACGCAACATGTGAGGTGTGCCGAACTGAGGCGATACGCCATGCGGAACATGCCACGTGGGGTTACGGTGGAGCTCCTTATGGGGCCACGAAGCGTGTGATGCGTGTGCCGAATTGTGGACGCGCAGGGCAAAGGCAGGGTCCGCCATGTCACATCCCTTTCTCCTTGCCTCTCCGTCTGTCCCTCATTCTGCACATCCTGCCGTTGCCCGTCCTCGCGCTGCAGATCGCCTTCGCTCGCCCCCGACACCATGCCGCGCACCGACGTTCCCATGGACGGCTCCACTGGCTAGCCCCCATCGTCGACCGCAGCACCAGCCGCAGTGGGTGTGGCCTGCTAAACCTGACCTTGATCCTGCCCGACGTGGACAAGATCGGAGACATCGACTTGAAAGACAAAGAAGCCAGCAAGGAATACGACCATCTCGGGCTGC